AATCAGTTGAACTTATCAATACTATTTCTGAATCCACCGACAACATCCCACCATCTCCTACACCCAAAGCATGCCAATGTTGTACGTCAGAATGGAATTTTGGTGGATTCCGGATCAACTTAGGTTGCAATGGAATTCCAACCCGATTCAATTTGTTAGAGAATTCAAATTCCACTTAATAAGTAGATTTAGAATTAACTTAAAATTAATTAATCATTAAATCACTAAATCACTAAATCACTAATATATCAATAAAAATACTTTTATATAAAAAAAAAATCGATTTTTTTTTTTTTTACCTTTAATTCATTTATCAAATTGCTTATATTGCATCAAATAATGACCGACGTACAAGAATATCCATTTTTATCTCATAATGCATTCGAAAGTTTGCTTACCAAATTTCTTGATGGCAAATCTGCTAATCGACGCCGTAAAACTTTTATTACACGAGAAGATCATGATTTATGTATTGAAATTTTACAAAATCCGTCAAATACAAATATTGGAACTGCAAAGAATCGTTACTGGGCTAAAAAAACTTTTAGTTTACGAAACCTTGGAACAATTACAAGCCCTGTATTGCAGCTTATTAAAACTGAATCGAATTTACCAGTCTGTCCTGTTGACAGAATATATGATATACTTTGTAGTTTACATCAAAGTGTTTTCAAACATGTTGGTGCTACAAAACTATGGAATGCAGTATGTTAATTAAATTTAATTTTTTGAATTAAAAAATGAATTATTTTTTATTTTATTTTATTTTATTTTTTTTTAATTTATTGATAGGTCTCTGAGCAATACTGTTATATTCCACAATCATTTGTTAAGGAATTTGTGAAAAATTGCACAACTTGTGCAACACGAAAAAGTTTTCCAAATCCAGTTGCAGCAAAACCAATTATTGCCAATAAGTTTCTTAGCCGAGTTCAGGTTGATTTAATTTCAATGACTAGTCTTCCTGATGGAGATTTTAATTATATATGTCACATGCGTGATCATTTTACTCGCTTCTCCTGGGTTCGACCTTTAACAAGTAAACAGGCAGTTGAAGTAGCCACATTTCTGTTTGATGTTTTTGTGTGTTTTGGTGCACCTACCATTCTTCACACAGATAATGGCCGTGAATTTACGGCACAAGTAATTGAAGAGTTAATGAAAATGTGGCCTGAAGTTCATATAGTTAATGGGCGGCCAAGACATCCCCAAAGCCAAGGGCTTGTAGAGCGTGGGAATGGTATTCTGCAACAAAAATTATCTAAATGGATGGAGGATACACAACGAACAGATTGGGCATATGCTTTGCCTTTATGTTGCTGTAAATAATTTAAATATTTATTTTACTTTAATGCTTTAATAACAATTAATTTAATAAATTGATTTATTATTTATTATGTTGATAGATGCAATGAATATTCAAATAGCTCGTCAAATTAAAAATAGTCCATATGCACTTGTATTTGGACAAAATCCATTGCGTAATTTTATGTTATTAAATGAAATCAAAAAACTCAATATAAATTCTGAAGATGAATTGCCTGAAAACTGGTTTGAACAGGAAAAGCAAGAACTATTAACTGATGATGAAAATCAACAAGAAATCGTCGAATCATTTTTAGGAACCATGGCATTAAACTCTAATGTAATATATAATAATTGTACTATAAATTATAGCACAATTTTTTGACTATTTATCTTTATTTTATTTTATTTATTTATTTATTTATTTATTTATTTATAGGAATTAGAAATCGCAAATAGTGAATTGGAAATTCAAGATTCTTTTGAAAAACCTGTTTATACGGTATCAACCGATGATGACAATGATTCTAATTCTACAAACAATGAATTAGAAATACAAGCATCATCTGAAAAACCTGTTTATACAGTATCTACTGATGATGATAATGATTCTAATTCATCAACTAAAATTCTTTCGAAAGATAGTGATGATTCTAATTCTTCAATCAAAGTTCTTTCAAAAAAACGATTTAAATCTCGAAGTTCAAAAAGTAATAAACATCCAGCATTGGTGCCCAAAAATAATGACGATAATATTATTGCAAATATTGAAGATCAGGTATTTAATATATAGTTTAAATAAATATACAGTTTAAATATTATACAATAATATATTTATAAATTATTTTAATTTTACGATTTGTAGCAAAAATCTTCGCATGAAACTTATAGAAATGTTGCTATAAATTCTCTTGAAAGATATCGTGATAATATGAAGGCACAACTTAATAAACGAAACAAAAAATTTACAAATGAATATCAAATTGGTGATTTTGTTCATATTAAGGTTCCTGAATATGATCGAATACACAGTGATCGTATAACACTTCCATGCAAGGTTCTTGAAATTTTAGAAAACAATATGTATCGAATTGGATGCAAGTCTGGTGTTCTTGAAATAGCATATAATGCGACAGAAATTCTTCCTTTGGGGCCTAAGCAATTCCCTGAATTAGATAATATTCCTCCGAAAGTCATAAGTGTGCGAGAAGCTTCACAAGCACAGTCGATGTCACAAATTGGAAATATAAAATGCAGTTGTAAGGGTAAATGTGATAAAAATCACTGCAAATGTAAGAAGGCAAAGTTGCCTTGTGGCAGTAGCTGTCATCCCAGCAATCATGCTTGTAATAATAAATGTAACTAGCATACTATATATGACTAGAGAATATGTAAAATTAGCTTTGCAATGCACTGTTATGTAAATTGAATTCAAATGCTTTTAATTTCAAAATTGAATATGCGTTAAATGGATTCGGAATCAACTTTAAGTTATATTGTAATTCTTTAACAATTTGAGTGGATATAAAATTTCATTTCAACTTAAGTTTATCTGGAATCAACCTAAGTTGATCCGGAATCCACCAAAATTCCATTCCGACGTACAACATATATATATTTTTTTAATAAAAATCATAAATAAATAATAATTAAAATAAATAAAATTTTTATATATATTATAGTTTAAAAAATATACTGATATTTTTTAATATAATCGATAAAAATTATAATTAATATTTTTTGAAAAATTAAGTTTTATTTATTATTTTTTAAAATGAAACAAAAATATTTATATAAAGATTATAAACTTTCTACTAAAAATTCATCAAGATTTATTGGTATCAAATATTATACCAGGTAAAAGGCAAACTAACAACCGAGCAGAGTTGTATGCAGTAATCAGAGCATTAGATATTGTTAATATTAAATCAGATATCATTATTTATACTGATAGTATTTATGTAATCAACTATTATAATGTGAAAAATCCTCGTACCAATTTTAATTTGGTTGATAGAATGAATGATTTGATTAAATCACATGTAGAAAAAACATATTTTAAATACATAAAAGGTTATAGTAAAGTATATAGTAATGAGATAGCAGATTGTTTAGCTTATTTGGGTTCAGAAAAACTATATGTACTTGAGTTTAATTTTGATACTTAAATAAATATTAATAAAAAAAAATTATCTATAAAGGATTATTTTAAAAAATAAAATTAATAAAATTATTTATTTTTAAATTTATATATGTAATAATTTATGTATGTATTCACTACAAGATTTGTAAAAAAGGCTGGGCACCGAGCTATATCAACAATACGAGTATACACATATCATGTAAGAACAAATACATTAGTGCTTACAAAACAACCACACTATAAACAATTATGGATTAAAAAGCCAACTCAAAATAGCTTGCGATTTTGCTACCAAAAAAAAAGATACTGTCAGGCTTCTTTTAGGCTATGCAGCCCAGAGCATATTAGTTTATCAAGCTAAATTTAAAAAATAGTTATAAAAATTAAGTTATTTTAAAGTAAATTTTATTTATATCAAAATCATAGAATTAATCAATTTTGACATATTTTTTATCACAACTAAATAAAATAAAATTTAAATTTGTTTTGTTAAATTTAATTTATTTTGGTATTAAAATAATATTTTATTAATTTTTTATATTTCATAAAGTTTGACTGCCGAAGGCAGTCACACTAGCTGCACCATGTTTACTTATATGTTTAGTATATTATGTGCAATTACTCTAACTCGTTTAGTGATTTAAGCTATAAGGTTTTAGTTAGCTGGCTAAACCAGCTGACTAACATATTAGCTAATTGGCTAGCTAATAGCTAACATACTATACTTTTGGAAATTTTTAGTAAACTTTAACTTGTTTTTGCTTGTATTTTATTTTCTTTTTCAGAATTTATCAGAATTCTATTATATATTAAATTTATGATCTTTAGCCGTATTAGCTAGCCAATCATATTATATTGGCTAGCTCAGCTAGCTAAGCTAGCTTAGCTATAGCTACTATAGTCAGCTTAAATCACTAAACTTATTAAATGTAGTATTATGAGTTAGAGTAATTAAATATTATTAGCTAATTTAAATTAATTATAAAAATTAATATATAAAAATAATATTTATATTA